AGTCCACTTACTCGAAGATTATTGCAACTTTGAAAATACAAAACCTGCATGCATGTAATAATTCAAATTAAAATTAATATGCATAATTTAAATTTCATTTAATTAGTTAATTTAAAGAGTGAATACTCACTGCAGGTTTATCGCAATCTCCAAATTTTTCCTGAACCAAAAAAATAATAATAATAAAGATTTTATGTTTAGTATATCACTACTGTATAAATGTCCTTATATAGATAAATTGGATATATGATAATTAAAGGGGGGTAGAGTATATTACGGACATGGGTAGAGTTCTTCCACCATGCGGCACCGTTTCCGTCAATTGTGCTAGTACCAGAGATAATAAGGTTATCAACATGATCAAAGCATAACCAACAGCCGGATTTACAATCCGTCCAATCTGTGCTCATTGGTGCAATTATATTTCCCATCATCTATATATATAAACAAATAAGTTAATTATATGCGTAAATGCAGACATTAATTAATTAATCAATTATTATTTGGAGCTAGAAATATATAAATATGAAGGTGAACATACTTGAATTTGAACGGTTGTCGATTTGCAAGGTCCAGAGAAGTTTGACTTGTTTCAACAAGAAAGTCTTGCCTGGCGGGACTTGCAGAGTCGGCATGGTGGCTCCACTTGTAGTAGTGGTCTCACAAACACGCCTCCACGCATCCAAGAAAGCCTTGAATGTACATATAATACAAGATATACAGTTAATTAGTAAAAATTTTAACACACACATATGTATGGATCATATATATTATATATTTAATTATATATTACCTTTGAGTCATCAGTTCGAGCATCTCCAACAGCCCCAAAATTCAAGACGTTGAAGAGTTGGCCTTTAGCTTGGCTAAAGGTACTAAGAAGGAAGACCAGAGTAATGAAGAATCGAATCTGTACGGATAAACATATACAACGACAAAAATCAATATATCATTTAAGACAGTAGAGCCCTATAGCCAAGAAGACTATATTTCATCAATTAACAAAAATTTAAGACAAAGAATACTGTCTGAACCAATTAAGTTGAGAAGGTGTTGAATCAATTTCATAGAACAGAATGAAGAAACTTAGAAAGAAGAATTCAGCTAATTGTAAGCAAAAGTAAAGAAGAGAGCTATACCATTATTAAGAATGAAGTAATGAACAGCTAGCTATTTGTGTAGTACGTAGTTGTAGTGTCTTAATTATCTTGTAATAGATATATGGATGTGTGTAAGAATTGTTGGCTTTATATAGTGATAAGATTGGTATGTATTTTTGGAAAGTTCAATTTATTCTCGAAATTAAACTTCAAACTCAACCAGTAATAGTATTTATAAATTAAATCTTTCCCTTATCATCTATTGTCATAAATAAAACATTGTCATCATTACTAATTAAGACAACATGATTTTAATTTTAGGTCTTCTATCTTAGCATAATAGTTTAGTCCAAAATCAATTACTGTAATAAGCCCTTTATAGATTTTATGACAAGCTAAAAGGTGGTTGCAAGATTTTCATTAAAAACATAATTGATAGTTTGTAATCCCTAATAGTAGTAATTACACATACTCCTAATTCAAATCTATTTAGAAGTATAGAGTTTATGATCTCTAAATTAGTAGTAATACAAGAACTACTAATTCAAATCTATTTAGGAGTATATTATTTCTAACTGTAACTTGTGTGAAAATAAAAAGATTTTGTGGGTCTATATCAAGATTTTATATTACTACTTGAAATACACTTTAATAAGATAAAGTGGGACTCACATCAACTTCATAACCTCTTTCAATCCTAATAAGACATGAATTGTCCTAATAGGATATCCCGCAATTCCTATAAATATCCACACACACTCTAGAATAGATATGTTGATTATATACCTACAACTCCAGCTCACAAACATTGCCCCAGCCCCAAAGCTCTCTAGCTTTATTTCTCTCAAAACTCCAAATCCCTTATTAAAGCTCTTGGATTAACTCATGCAAGTTCCAAATAATTCACCTTCATGCAGAAACCTAATCACCATTCTCAGTATTGATGGTGGTGGAATTCGGGGGATCATCCCGGGAGTCATCCTTACTTTCCTAGAGTCTGAACTTCAGGTAGCTACTAAAAGTGAACAATTGTTATAATCTCTTCATTCTCAACTTTACATTCAATTGTAGTACTTGTCCAATTATTACACGTTATTATCTTTTTTTTGCTCATATTGCAACAAGAATGAACAATTCAAACTGATTTTTGTAATCTTGAGTTCAGAAACTGGATGGCGAAGAAGCAAGAATAGCAGATTATTTTGATGTGATTGCCGGGACTAGCACTGGCGGCCTGGTGACAGCCATGCTAACTACTCCTAATGAAAAAAACCGTCCCCTGTTTGCTGCCAAAGACATAAAAGACTTCTACCTCACCCACTGCCCTAACATCTTCCCTCAATCCAGGTAACAATGTTCTAAATTTCATTTACTTGATTTATATATGGCTTTTGTTTGGGCAGCTTCGCAATCCAACACTGTCGAAGTCCTCAGCTGCTTCTACACCTGTAAATCCTGAGGTTGTTTCCTCGAGGAAAACACTCCGACGCTCAAGTCAGCAATACTCAATATTCTAGGGAGAGAGGCTCTCAAGGAGTAATTGCAGAGAGAGAAGCGTAGAGATTAATTACCTCCATTGTTGGTAGTTGGGGGGTATTTATAGCCCCAAATGCTGACATGCATCCCTACATGTAAGTAACTCATTGGCCCACGTGGTGCTGCTCACGTGGGTATGTCTCCTCCTCTTGGGCCTGTGTGTGCATAGTTGGGCCTGTTATATGTGGCCCAAAGTGGGCGTTGGGCCTAATCGCAACATTACTCCCCCCTCAGCGTTCGGTTGACGAACTGGATGGAGAGCCTTGTAAGCACGGTGTTTGGCCTCGAGGACAAGGAGTGACGCTTTATGTTTATGAACGACTTCACACACAGCCGACCTGAGCGGCTTGAAGACATCGTGCCTGGCTGAATGCGCAAGTGTATGCCGGCTTTCTGCTGAGCAGGCGTAAGGAGTTGATGTCAAAGTTAGTCGAGCTCGACACCAATCAGAGGGTTGGGCAGGCGCGCAAGGGTGATCTTGCGTAATGAATTCTCTGCGGCAGAGCGGAGGCGAGCAGGTAGTGAACGAGCTGAACGCATCGACCCTAGACGGGCAGAGAGTAGCGACCACACTCGTCACTTCAATATAGATCTCTGGGATACAGAGCAGCTTTGAGGAAGTTAGTTACAATCTAACGCTCGATGCCCGAAACTGAGGTGAATCCATGATTTGTGCGACCTGACCTCCAGAGGTTTTTCGAATTTAGGATCTCTGAAGAGATCTCTGATTAGTAACGAGCTGATCCCTTAGACTTTTCAAAATTTTAACTGTGGCGAATCTCTGGGGAGATTTGCCTAAGTCTCGAATTTGTTACGAGCTGATCATTGAAGTTTGTCGCGATCCGATCCTTCGGATTTTTCAACAATTGTGGCGAATCTCTGAGGAGATTTGCTCAGGGCGTTTGGTATTCTTTTGCTTTTAACAGATACCCTTTTGCCTCCCCGCAATAAATGCTGGCTCAGCATTTGAGGGGACGTGACAGCTGCAAATGGCGCGTTTTGGGGTTTTAACCATAAATGGTCGCCACGTGGACACGCTTAACTGGGGGGCCGTAAACACGCGTACGGTGTTTACGGAGCACCATCTGAACGGCCAAAACAAAACAAACAATTTGTCATTTCTTTTCATTTCATTGCAAAGCACATTCGTACGTTTTTCAGAGAAGATTACAGAGACATTCACGACCATTTTTCCAGACTTCCAGTGAAAGCACGTTAACCTTCAACTACTCAGGTAAAAATGGCTTCTTTCCACGATGCACAAGGGTTCCGGGGTAACCAAGGTGAAGAGGAAGATGTTGATGTGATATTCGTGGAGCCTATCGCGATGATAGTGCCGCCAGAGTTGCAAGATTCGCCCAGAACCGCCGCGCCTGAGAGTAACGCCAGTTCGAGCGTAAGTGGTGGTTCTGAGGGCCACCAGCCTTCAACCTCTAGTGATTCGCCCACAGAAGAGACAACTAGTGGGGCGGAGGGCGTGGAGGAGGTTGGTTGCAGTGCACCGGTGACAAGTGCAGCAGCAAAGGTGGTGGTGTTCGAAGGGTGGGAAAGCAAGGTTCTCAGTGGAAGGCTGGATAACCTTCGTAAGGCTCCCAAAACCCTGCCGATCGGCTTCAAGTTCAAGGCAGTGCTGCATCATGAGGTTGCAGATGGCGCGGCCACGGTGAAGGGGTACAAGAAGCTGGAGGAAATGGTGAGGCGATTCCAGATCCCCAGAACCATCCTGATCCGAGCTGGGACACCAAATGAACGGGCATGTTCAGTGTCGCGGACGAGTTGGGTGCCAGTATACGTAGACCATTTTGACGTCGGTCTACATTTTCCTCTGCCCGGACTAATTTTTGACGTCCTGGCAGAGTACGAGCTGGCCCTTTCGCAGCTTACTCCCAACAGCATAAAGTTTATCATAGGCTTTATGCTGTTGTGCGAAAGGTTGGGGATGCCTACTAAGGCGGTGGTCTTCAGGTCGCTCTTCCTGTGCCGGTTGTGCCCGTCCACCAGTGGAACGAGATGGTACTACATCTCGGGGAGAGAGAAAATGATGATATTCACCAACATAAGGAACAAAGTGGCGAGGTGGAAGAGACAGTTCGTCTTCGTTCGGGACACACGAACTGAACGAATCAGTAACGAGCTCGCCGCCCGTCTGTCAGAGTGGCGCACGCCCAACACCTATATGAACTACCCACAGCTGATAGTTGGTGACGTCGACCTGAAGAACCGGCTGTTGGATTATGTGAAGGCGAGGGGGTTGGTGGATTTAGAAACCTTGGTTATCCCGGAGCAGATCGCACTTCATGGATTTGTCGACGTGGCAAACCTACACTCTCAAGGTATATCTTTGTAATAGTATAGTTTCTAGCTGATTTGAGTCTTATGCTTTTGTTTGTGCAGGAGTCATGAGCAGCATCCTTGAGAGACAACGTCAGCGAGCTCAAGGCTCAAGGGGCCGGGGAGCTAGGTCTGGTTCCCAGCGTCAATCCCGCTTTGACGAGCGGCCACCTGCTGCACCGGGGCGCAACTCGCAGCACCGGAGTTCCAGCTCGGCACAGCCGCGTGCAGAGCAAAGGACTGAGCCTGCGCCCTCCAGCTCTAGGAGGCGCACAAGGGAGGAGTCTGACGCAGAGGATGACGTTCCACTCATCCGGCGTAGGACAAGCACCGGCTCGCAGCCCGCCCCAACCGCCGCTGCGCAACCTGCTAGCGTGCCCCAAGTGTCAGTTCGGGAGGTCGTTGAGGCCACACCAGCCTCGTCGTCTGTGACGAGGCCAAGGATTGCATACCCGAACGGCTTCAACTATGCCCAGACCGAGTGTCAGACCGCTATGCTGCAGGGGATGCAGAACTTTGTGCCCCCTGCAGACCAGCTGCGTGCAAAGGGGCACGTTCAGCAGCATGGAAGGCATGCTGCTTTAATAAAGCTGATGGATGTAAGTATACTTGGCGAGCTAATTACTGCATTTTATCATGTTTTTACTATAAACTGACGAGTGAACATGTATTGCAGGCGTTCAGCTACACTGTCGCACTCTTCGAGTGTGAGCATGGGGCCCGGGCGCAGAACAACGAGCTCCAACAGAGCTGTAAACAATTGGCCTCTGAGAAAGCCAGTTTGGCTGACGAGGTCAATCGTTTACAAAGCTCGGAGATGGCTAACCGAGCGGAGTCAGCAGAGAGCCGAGCTGACGAGCTGGCCCGTAAGGTTAACGAGCTGAAGGAGGAGCTCGTGAGGGCGCAAGTGGAGAAGGAAAGTGGCATCCAAGTTGCCAAGGAGGAGCTCGACCGTGCAGAGGAACGGGCTAAAAAGGCGGAGTCTGACAGAGAGAAGACTCTGCACGAGCTGAGCTCCTTGAGGGAGAAGGTGGTGCAAGCCGACCAGCACGTCGCCCAAGCTGAGGCGTCCCTGGAAAGCACCAAGAGGGCCCACCAACGCGACGTCTGCTTTGCTCGTGCACAGGGGGCTGAATGGCTGGTGGGAGCAAAGATGTTCCAGGACGCTGTTGCAGTCGCCTCTGCCAACACCACCACGGACATTTTCAACGAGGTTCGTGGGAAGGTGCTACAAGTTCGGGCTGATTTTCCCATCGGCGAGCTAGCTTTTTTTGAAGGCGAGGAGATTAACGAAGAAGGAAAGAGCCTCGCCCCGCCAACGGACACCCGGGTGAGGCTGAGATGGGAGCTGAACGAGGAAGGGCTACCCGTGTGGCCCCCTTCTGTGATCGAAGAGGGGGAGGACACGGAGGGGTTGCCAAGTTTTGACGCTTGGGTGGCAAACCCCCATGATGTGCCTGCTGAGCCTTCCAGCACTCCCCCCTCTGCTCAGCCTCAACCCGCACCAGGCGCTACTACTGTTCGCTCTCCTACCCTTCCTTCTCCAGATCGGTCATCACCAGCTCGGTCTGCTACTGCCCGAAACGACGCATCCATCCCCGTCGACCTGACGGATGATTAGCTTAGGGTTTTTACTTTTTCTTTTGTATTTCCATGTAAATCAATGAACTCATTCCGTATGTACTACACATGTAAACACTCATTGATGGAATACAAATTCGCATATTTTCTAATTTCTGTGTATATTGCTGTGTGCTGTTTTATGCACTGTTCTTTACATTTGATTGAGGATAGCCTAAATTAAAATAATGACATCGGAATGCTAACTATAAAACTTTCTAAGGTTGTGTATATTCCAAATGAATGGTAGTGAACGACCTTGTAAATCTGCTAATTAGTAACACCCAGGTCGTTTAACACAAATAACCATATAAGGACCTTCCCAATTAGGAGCGAGCTTGCCCATGTGCGAATAAACATTGGTTAGTCCTGCTTTGCGTAGAACCAGATCGCCGACCTGAAACTGGTGAGCTCGAACTCTCTTGTTATAAAATTTTGCCACACGACTCTGATGCGCCATATTTCTCATTCGAGACATCTCCCTAACCTCTTCCACAAGGTCCAAGTTCTCTCTCAATAGTTGCTCATTGTTAGCATCGTCGTGCCGACCTGCTTTATCGGAGGGCAATCCAATCTCCACTGGGATGACGGCCTCAGCTCCATAAGCAAGGCTGAATGGGTTTCGCCTATGGCCGAGCTGGGCGTAGTGCGACAAGACCAAAGCACTTTATTGAGCTCGTCAACCCAATTAGAACGTGCGGCTAAAACACGCGTCTTGAGGCCCCACAAGACGATCTTATTGGCGGACTCGGCCTGTTCGTTTGACTGAGGAGTATATACAGACGTCAAGGAGAGCTCAATGCCATAGTCGTTGCAGAACGACCTCAGTGCGGCGGCTCAGAACTGCGGACCATTATCAGCGATGATCCGTTTAGGTATGCCAAACCTGAAAACAGATAACCGAGCTGAGCCGCAGATTGTACTTATATACAGTGTGCCAATGGCTTAAGTCACCAAAGAATACCTGCATAATATTGAATTGAACAGGAATTCCTCTATTTTCTTTTCTGTCGTCGTGGATAGGGGTTTGGCTTCTATCCATTTTGTGAAGTAATCCACTGCAACAACGAGGTACGTGCAACCTCATTTTCCTTTCACAAAAGGGCCGAGCAGGTCGACTCCCCATTGAGAAAAAGGCCAAGGAGATGAGAGTGGTGAGAGCGCTTCTCCTGGCATGTGAATGTCATCAGCATTGAACTGGCAGGTCGGGCATTTTTTGACATAGTTCTGTGCATCCTCAACCATAGTCGGCCAGTAATACCCATGCCTCAGGAGCTTACGAGCTAGGGTTTTGCCTCCAATGTGCGTGCCACATACTCCTTCATGGATTTCTCTCACATCATATTCAGCTTCATAAGGAGTGAGACAGCGTAATAGGGGTATAGAGGCTGCCCGCTTGTAGAGCTGATTATCTATCAAAGTAAAATGAGCCGCCCTGCGTTTAATCAACTTGGCAACAGACGGATCTTCAGGTAGCTCACCACTTTGCAGATAATTTATGAGCGGGGTGGTCCAGCTCGGTGCAGAGGGATCTGTGCTTAGCAGCTGACACTCGACTGTGGAATCAGTGTAGCTCAGTGTGTCGAGTATCTCGACAATTGTCGATCTCTGAGGGTTAAGGTCCTGCGAGGAGGCCAACTTTGACAGCTCGTCAGCTCAGTGGTTATCTGCTCTTGGTATTTTATCAATTTGGAAAAGGACAAATATTGACTTCAATCTGTTGACCACAGAGGCATAACGACCGAGCTGGGGATCCTTGATTTCACAACTGCCATTCACTTGGCCCACAACGAGCTGAGAGTCGCTGAAAACTTGAATGCTTTGTACCTTCAGCTCGGACGCCAGCTTCAGTCCGTAAATGAGGGCTTCATATTCTGCAGCGTTATTAGTCGTCTGAAACTTAACCTCAGTGCGTGCTCAGACTTAAAGCCATCTAGGCCTACTAACACGGCCCCTGCACCCGATCCTTCAATGTTAGCAGCTCCATCAACATACAAAACCCAGACTGGGTGCTCGGGTGCTTTTTCTTCCTTAGTTGCTGAGATGCACTCCACCAGAAAGTCTGCAACGGCCTGGCCTTTTATGGTTGTGCGTGGTTGAAATTTGAGGTCATATTCACTCAGCTCGACGCTCCACCCAATAAGCCGACCAGAGAGTTCAGGTTTCTGCAATATTTTTCTCAATGGCAAATCGGTATAGACAACAATCTGATGTGATTGGAAATAAGCCCTCAACTTACGAGCTGTGTAAACCAGGGCAAAGGCAGCCTTTTCTGCTAATGGGTAGTTTTGCTCTGCACCTTGTAAAACTTTGCTCACGTAACAAATAGGCTTCTGATTCTTATTGTCTTCCCTGAGCAAGACTGAGCTCACTGCCTCCTTCGTAACCCCCATGTATAGATATAAACTCTCCCCTTCCATAGGCTTGGACAGCAGGGGTGCGGATGCCAGATACTGCTTGAGCTCATCAAACGCCCGCTGACACTCGTCAGTCCATTGAAAATGCTTGGGCTCTCTCAAGGCTTTGAAAAATGGTAGGCACCTTTCCGCCGACCTGGCTATGAATCTGTGCAACGCGGCTACACGACCTGTCAGGCGCTGCACGTCCTTTACAGTCCTGGGAGGCTCCATCTGCTGCACGGCCAGAACCTTCTCTGGGTTCACTTCAATTCCTTTCTTAGATACCACGTACCTTAGGAATTTTCCTAATTCTACAGCAAACGTGCACTTCAGGGGATTCAGCTTCATTTGGGCTCGGCGCAAGTTTTGAAAGGTCTCACTCAGGTCGTCTATATGATCCTCAGCTCGTGCACTGGTGACTATCATGTCATCCACATATACTTCTATGTTCCTGCCGATCTGCAGCTTGAAGATGATTTGCACCAGCTTCTGATATGTAGCGCCAGCATTTTTCAAGCCAAACGGCATCATGACATAGCAGTAGATCGCATCACCAGCATAGAAAGCTATTTTCTCCTGATCATCTAGCAGTAACTGAACCTGGTGATACCCTGAGCTAGCGTCAAGGAAACTCATCCGCTCATGCCCGGCTGCCTGCTCTACTAGCTTTTCAACATTTGGCAAGGGGTGAGGGTCTTTTGGACACGCCTCGTTTAGGTTGGTGAAGTCAATACACATCCTCCACTTGCCATTCGGTTTTTTGACGAGCACAGGGTTGGACACCCACTCAGAGTATTCCACTCTCCTGATGAAGCTTGCCTGTAGTAGCTTTTGTATTTCTTCATCTATAGCAGCCTGCTTCTCAAGGCCAAAAAGGCGACGCTTCTGTACCACCGGCCTTTTGGTGGGGTCCGTGCTGAGTTTGTGGACTGTCAACTCTGCCGGGATGCCAAGCATTTCATCTGTAGTTCATGCAAACACATCTTGATTGACTCTCAAAAACTCCAGAAGCTCTGCTCGTTCTTTTTTTGTGAGCTTGGTGCCGATCTTGACTGTTCTTTCCGGCATATCAGAGTTTAAAAGAACGGTTTTTACTGGCTCTACCGGCTCTACTTTCTGCTCGACACCCTCAGGTCTATGCTCAATGTCCGATATGCTCACTATCTGTTGGCCGGGCTGAGTCGGCCTTCTACTTTCAGAGGAGTCTCCTAGGGCTACAGCGAACTCAACCTTCTTAAATGTATCTTGATAACATGCCCTTGCCATCTTCTGATTCCCCTTTAGCACTCCTACCCCCTGAGGCATTGGGAATTTCATGCAGAGATAGGGTTGTGAGATAACAGCCTTCAGCTCGCACAGAGTGGCCCTTCCTAATATGGCGTTGAAGGCTGACTCCATTTTGACGACCAGGAAGCTGACTAAAGCCATCCTGAAGCGTGGTTCTGAACCCACATAAATGGGAAGTGTAATTACTCCCTCCACTAGGACGGGTTGATTATTAAACCCATAGATAGGCCTTTCATATTTTTGTAACGAGCTGGGGTTCAGCTGCATCTTTTGGAAGCAGCTCCAATACAGGATATCGGGCGAGCTACCAGTATCAATGAAAACCTTATTGACGTTATGATTGCCTATATGGACTGTTGCTACAAAAGAATCTGCATGAGGCATCACGACGTCGAGCTCTCCTTCTACTCGTTGGTAATCTGCCGGGCTAAACGTAATGGTCGTATTCTCCCACTCCGCTTCTTCAAATGGGCGCTTAAGAGGCCGGTTCTTATTTACTGTCATCACTTGTCGAGCGTATGCCTTGCGGCCTCGGGCGCTCTGACCTCCCGCATGCATACCGCCGGAGATCATGTTAATTGTGCCGGCTGGCGGGGGTATTCCACCATACCCAACCCCTCTGTGGTCCTTTTGGTTCTGTGCAGGTGCTTTCTGTCCTTGTCCACGCCTATTGAACGGGCGTCCCCTGTATGCTCAGTTCGGCTCAAATGAGTATGGACCTGCCTGGTAAGAATTTGGATTGCTACTGAGCTGATATCCAGGTGCTTGAGATCGACCGTACTCTTGTACAAAGTGGGTCTGGGTGGGTTGCCGAACAAAAGGCTTCTGCACATACCCTTCCAATTTCCCATTGCGAGCCAAGAATTCGAGCTCGTCCTTCAGACTCTGACAGTCTTCTGTGTTATGGCCGTAGACACGGTGATAGTCGCAGTATTTGCTTCT